CTTGTGATATGCCTGCCTGGGCCTCCCAAAGTGCTGGGATTACATGTGCAAGCCACCACGCCTGGTCAATTTTTGTATTTTTTGTGGAGATGAGGTTTAACCATGTTGCTCAGACTGGTCTCGAACTCCGGGGCTCAAGCGATCCACCGCCTCAGCCTCTCAAAGTGTTGGGATTATAGACATGAGGCACCGCGCCTGACTAGTATATATTATTTTGTGTATTTTTAAAATACATTTTTACAAAAATGGTATACTATGGGGTGGTTGTGCAGTTTTTTTAGTAACTTCTTTAAAAACCTTTTTTTGAATTAAATTTTAATAATATTGCTAACTACAACTTGCTTTCCCTCCCAACTCTACATTACTTTTTAAATACATCCACATTGCTACTTATAATTTATTCATCTAAGTGCTGTATGTTTTATTGAGAAATATGCTACAGTTTATTATCTATTGCTCCTACAGATGAACTTTAGGTTGTTTCCTTTCTTTCCCCTGATTACCCACAGTGGTAAAATGAAATGAATATCTTTATTCAGGCCTCTTGTGTTTATGTGCAAGAGTTTCTCTATGCATATAACATTTAAGAAATACATTTATACCTCTTGAAAAGTGCTGTGAGCCAAGATACAAATACCAAAATTTAGTCTATTGTGCTATTGTAAAACTTCTAACAGGACTCCTACCAAAGCAACTCAGTTGCGATTAGCATTTCATCCCCTCCCTTCCCCTCCCTCTCCTCCCCTCCCCTCCCTCTCCTCCCCTCCCCTCCCTCTCCTCCCCTCCCTCTCCTTCTCCTCCTCCTTACCCCTTCCCTTCCCTCCCCTCCCCTCCCCTCCCCTCCCCTTCTCTCCCCTTCATTCTCTTTCTTTCTTTTCTTCTTTCTTTCTTTTTTGGAGTCTCACTCTGTCACCCAGGCTGGAGTGCAGTGGTGCCATCTCAGCTTACTTCAACCTCTGCCTCATGGGTTCAAGTGATTTTCTTGCCTTAGCCTCCTGAGTAGCTGGGACTACAGGTGCATACCACCATGCCTGACTAATTTTTTTTTTCTTTTTCTTTTTTTTGGAGATGGAGTCTTGCTGTATCTCCTAGGCTGGAATGCAGTGGCGTGATCTTGGCTCACTGCAACCTTCGCCTCCTGGCTTTAAGTGATTCTCATGCCTCAGCCTCCTGAGTAACTGGGATTACAGACATGCGCCACCACGCTGGCTAAGTTTTGTATTTTTAGTAGAGATGGGGTTTCACCATGTTGGCCAGGCTGGTCTTGAACTCCCAACCTCAGGTGATCTACCTGCCTTGGCCTCCCAAACTGCTAGGATTACAGGCATGAGCTACCATGTCTGGCCTAATTTTTGTATTTTTAGTAGAGACAAGGTTTTGCCATGTTGGCCAGACCAGTCTAGAACTCCTGACCTCAAGTGATCCACCTGCCTTGGCCTCCCAAAGTGCTAGGATTACGGGAGTTAGCCACCGTGCCCTGCCGCAATTAGCAGTTTCTTACCTCCTCCTAGCTAGCTGAGAATGTAAAACCAGACCCGTTGAGCTGCAATGAGCAATTCTGTCTTCTGTTCTGTAATATGGAAAACTAGGATTTGCCACTCTCAGGGAACCCTGAGGGCATTGAGGAGGTTAGTAAGGTATTTTGTTAGGAATGAAACATATCTTGATAAACAATTCAGTAAAGTTGTAGGATACAAAATCAGTATACAAAAATCAGTAGCATTTCTGTATGCCAACAGCAAACAATCTGAGAAAGAAATCAGGAAGGTAATCCTATTTACAACAGCTTCAAATAAGATAAAATATCTAGGAACAGTCTTTTTTTTTTTTTTTTTTTTTTTTGAGACAGAGTCTCTGTCAGGCTGGAGTGCCCTGGCGCGATCTTGGCTCGCTGCAAGCTCCGCCTCCCGGGTTCACGCCATTCTCCTGGCTCAGCCTCCTGAGTAGCTGGGACTACAGGCGCCTGCCACCGCGCCCGGCTAATTTTTTGTATTTTTAGTAGAAACAGGGTTTCACCGTGGTCTCGATCTCCTGACCTTGTGAGCCGCCCGCCTCGGCCTCCCAAAGTGCTGGGATTACAGGCGTGAGCCACTGCGCCCGGCCACCTAGGAACAGTCTTAACCAAGTAAGTGAAAGATCTTTTTTTTTTTTTTTTTTTTTTTTTGAGATGGAGTCTCGCTCTGCCGCCCAGGCTGGAGTGCAGTGGCCGGATCTCAGCTCACTGCAAGCTCCGCCTCCGGGTTCACGCCATTCTCCTGCCTCAGCCTCCCGAGTAGTTGGGACTACAGGCGCCCGCCACCGCGCCCGGCTAGTTTTTTGTATTTTTTTTTTTTAGTAGAGACGGGGTTTCACCGTGTTAGCCAGGATGGTCTCGATCTCCTGACCTCGTGATCCGCCCGTCTCGGCCTCCCAAAGTGCTGGGATTACAGGCTTGAGCCACTGCGCCCGGCCTTTTTTTTTTGATCCAGTGTCTTGCTCTGTTGCCAAGGCTAGAGTGCAGTGGTGTGATCTTGGCTCACTGCAACCTCTGCCTCCCGGCTTCAAGCGATTCTTGTGCCTCAGCCTCCTGAGTAGCTGGGACTATAGGTGTGCCACCATGCCTGGCTAATTTTTGCATTTTTAGTGGAGACGGGGTTTCACCACACTGGCCAGGCTAAAACTATAAAACATTGATGAAATTGAAGAGGACACCAAAAAATGGAAAGATATTGTTCATGAATTGAAAGAATCAATATTGTTAAAATGTCTATACTACCTAAAACAATCTGCAGATTCAGTGCAGTCCCCATCAAAATACCAGTGACACTCTTCACAGAAATAGAAAAAATAATCCTCAAATTTTAGAACCACAAAAGACCTAGAATAGCCAAAACCATCCTGAGCAAAAAGAACAAAACTGGAGGAATCACATTACCTGACTTCAAATTATACCACAGAGCTTTATTGTAACCAAAACAACATGAGAATACTGGCATAAAAACAGACACATAGGCTGGGCGTGGTGGCTCATGCCTATAATCCCAGCGCTTTAGGAGGCCTAGGAGGGTGGATCGCTTGAGCCCAGGAGTTTGAGACGAGCCTGGGCAACTTGACGAAACCTTGTCTTTATAAAAAAAAGTACAAAAATTAGCTGGGTGTGGTTATATGCACCTGTAGTCCCAGCTACTTGGGAGGCTAAGTTGGGAGGATCACCTGAGCCTTAGGAGGTCGAGGCTTCAGTGAGCTGTGATCACGCCACTCCATTCTAGCCTGGGCAACAGAGTGAGACCCTGTCTCAAAACAAAACAAAAACAAAAAACCAGACACACAGACCAATGGAACAGAATAGAGAACCCGGAAATAAATCCATATACCTACAGTTAACTCAATTTCAACAAAGGTGCTAAGAACATACGCTGGGGAAAGGACAATCTCTTCAATAAATGGTGCTGGGAAAACAGGATATCCATATGCAGAAGAAAAATCCAGTAAAAAATCTGATCAAAATGGATTAAAGACTTAAATCTAAGACCTCAAACTACTACAAGGAAACATTGGGAAAACTTTCCAGGATATTGGTTTGGGCAAAGATTTCTTGAGTAATATCCCCAAAGTACAGGTAACCAAAGCAAAAATGGACACGTGATCACATGAAGTTAAAAAGCTTCTGCACAGGAAATGAAGCAGTCAACAAAGTGAAGAGACAACCCACAGAATGGGAGAAAATATTTGAAACTACCCATTTGACAAAGAATTAATAACCAGAATATATAAGGAGTTCAGACAACTCTATAGGAAAAAGTCTAACAATCTGATTAAAAAATGGGCAAAAGATCTGAACAGACGTTTCTCAAAAGGAGGCATGCAAATGGCAAACAGATCTATGTAAAGTTGCTCAACATATTGATCATCAGAGAAATGCAAATCAAAACTATAATGAATTATCATCTCACCCTTAAAATGGCTTTTATTCAAAAGATGGGCAAATAATGCTAACCAAGATGTGGAGAAGAGGGAACCCTTGTACACTATTGATAGAAGTGTAAATTAGTATAGCCACTATGGAGAACACTATGGAGGTCCCTCAAAATAGTAAAAATAGAGCTACGATGTGATATAGCAATCCCACTGCTGAATATATACCCAAAAGAAAGGATATCAGTATATCGAAGAGACGTTTGCACTCTCATGTTTATTACAGCACTGTTTACAATAGCCAAGATTTGGAAGCAACCTAAATGTTCAATAGATGAATGTGGCACCTATACGAATGGATTATTCAGCCATAAAAAAATGAGATCCTCTTTTTTGCAACAACATGGATAGAACTTGAGGACATCATGTTAAGTGAAATAAGTCAGGCACAGAAAGACAAACTTTGCATATTCTTACTCATTGCTAAAGCTAAATATTAAGACAATTGAACTCATGGAGATAGATAATAGAATGATGGTTACCAGAGGGTGGGAAGGGTAGTGTGTTGGGGGTGTTGAGTGGGAAATGGGATGGTTAATAGGTACAATAATATAGTTGGATAGAATGAATAAAATTTAGTATTTGATAGCACAACAGAGTGACTACAATCAGCAATAATTCACTATATATTTTAGAATAACTGGGAGAGTACAATTGGAATGTTTGTAACACAAATAAATGATGAATGCTTGAGGTGATGGATACCTCATTTACCCTGATGTGATTATTACACATTGTATGCCTGTATCAAAAATCTTGTGTATCCTATAAGTATATATACCCACTATATACCCATGAAAATTAAAAAGAATATATATCTCAAAAATGAAAAAGTCAGTTGATGGCAAACTTATCGAATTGTTCAGTTTAGCAGACAACTATGTTTTATATAGTCAACAATGTTTTATGTACTTTACATATGTTTTGTATATTACTTTAATATCTTTTAGTTTTCTAAAGTTTCTTTTTTCTTTTCTGTCTCTGTTCAAATTATAATCAGCCTAGCCTTCCTCTGCACTTAAGTCTCTGTTCTTTTTTCTACCCAGATGATTAACTTAACTCCTACAACTCTCATAGTGGAAAAATACTGAGCTAAGTAATAATGAAATGGAAGAAGTTTGAGCTTTGGTGCTGGATAGAACTTGGCTCCAGTTTTGGTTCTACTAGCTCTGTGTCCTTAGGCAAGTTACTTCATCTTCTGAGCCTATATTTCTTTTTCTGTAAAATGGAGATCAGACCTATCTTGCTGGGTTTTTTTTTTTTTTTTTTTTTTTTTTGAGACGGAGTCTCGCTCTGTCGCCCAGGCTGTAGTGTAGTGGTATAATCTCAGCTCACTGCAATCTCTGCCTCTCAGGTTCAAGGGATTCTCAAAGTGCTGGGATTACAGGTGTGAGCCACTGTGCCTGGCCACATTTTGAGATTAAATGAGGAAATGCTTGTAAAATTCCTGATGTTTAAAAAAAAAAAAAACAGTGGCCAGGTGCAGTTCACACCTGTAATCTTAGCACTTTGGGAGGCTGAGGTGGGAGGATCACTTGAGGCCAGGAGTTCAAGACCAGCCTGGGCAATATAGTGAAACCTTGTGTTTCAAAAAAAAAAAAAGCTATCAAGGGTGAGACCTATGACTCTGGGTTTTAAACAAGCTTCTCAGGTAGTTTGAAGCACATTATCAACAGACATACTTTGAGAAATGCACTATCCTTGGCTCCTTGGTTTCAAGTCTAGCTTTGCTAGTAAATAGGTTATAGCATTGACTTTTATAGCATTTCTACTTTCTGGGCCTTGTGTTTCCTCAAATATAAAATGAATGACTGAAGTTGGTGTTTTCTACTGGCTCTAAAATTAAGAAAATTTGTTTTTTAAAATTATTATTTTTTTTAGTGATGGGGGTCTTGCTGTGTTGCCCAGTCTGGTCTTGAACTGGCAGGCATGATGGCACACACCTGTAGTCCCAGCTACACAGGTGGCTGAGGCAGGGGGATTGCCTGAGCCTGGAAATTTGAGGCTGCAGTGAGTTGTGATAGCACCACTGCACTCCAACCTGGGCTTGGATTACAGGAATGAGCCCCTGCACCCGACCCTATTTTATTTTATTTTTATTTTTATTATTTAATTTATTTACTTTGAGACAGAATGTCGCTCTTGTTGCCCAGGCTGGAGTATAATGGCATGATCTCGGCTGACTGAAACTTCTGCCTCCCGGGTTCAAGCAATTCTCCTGCCTCAGCCTCCCGAGTAGCTGGGATTACAGGTGGCTGCCACCAAGCCCAGCTAATTTTTTTGTTATTTTAGTAGAGACAGGGTTTTGCCACATTGGCCAAGCTGGTCTCGAACTCATGACCTCAGGTGATCTGACTGCCTCGGCCTCCCAAAGTGCTGCGATTTTACAGGTGTGAGTCACGTGCCCAGCCTCTATTTTATTTTTAAAATTCCGTTTATATTTTAGATTCAGGAGGTATGTGTACAGGTTTGTTACAAGGGTGTATTGTGTGGTGCTGAGGTTTGGGCTTCTATTGATCCCACCACCGAGATAGTGAACATAGTGCCCAACAGGAAGTTTTTCAGCCCCTGCCTGCCTCCCTCGTTTTGGAGCCTCTAGTGTCTGTTGTTCCCAACTTTATGTTTGTGTGAACCCAAGATTTAGCTCCTAGTTATAAGTGAGAACATGCAATATTTGGTTTTCTGTTTCTGCTTTGGTTCACTTAGAATAATGGCTTCCAGCTGCATGTTGCTGCAAAGGACATGATTTCATTCTTTTTTGTGACTGCAAATTTTTTGTCTTATAACCCTAAAATTTTTTGAGACAGGGTCTTGCTCTGTTGCCCAGGCGGAGTGCAGTGGTTCTATCATAGCTCACTGCAGCCTCAAACTCCTGGGGTCAGGCAATCCTCCTGCCTCAGCCACCTGTGTAGCTGGGACTACAGGCGTGTACCATCATGCCTGGCTAATTTTTACATTTTTTCATAGAGACGAGGTCTCACTATGTTGCCCTGACTGGTCTCAAACTCCTGAGCTCAAGTGATCCTCTTGCCTTGGCCTCCCAAAGTGTTAGGATTATAGGTATGAGCTACTGTGGCCAGGTAACCCTAAATTTTTGTTCTTGTGGATGTAAATATTTGGTCTGGTGGTGCTGATGCCACTTTTTGGCATAGGTTCAATAGAGGTACTTCAATGTTTTGTTATTTGGGAACTCAGAGTGTTCTTCCTTCTTTGAAGACTGTGGTAGAACTAGATTAACTAGATTCAGGGAGATCTCATGGAACCTCAGGATGCACTTAGGACTTAAGATTTGGGGATTAGAGCAGAATAGGGAATTCAAAAAGTTCCCTTTCTTTTTTTTCTTTCTTTGAAGATTGGCCCCAATCTCTTGACTTCTTCTGCCTTCAGGCTGTATTATAGACAATGGCCCTGGCCGGCAGCTCCTGAGTTTACATGGCTTCTATTTTAGAAAGCTGCCATATTGAGACTGGACTATCTTAATTCCAATTGCACATTGCCAGGAAAGAAACTGTGGTTGTACACACTGGGTACAGTGCTGACTTCTGGCAATGGATAAGGAGGCAGACTCATGTTGCTAAGATGGCCCTGGGATTCCTGCCACTTTTCTTTGAGTTGCGGAGCTGGTTAGAAGTGGTGGTGGTAAACTGAGTAGGTATCCACCTCCTTTATGAAAGCATTTCACTAATTGAGGAGTCACAATATTGTATTTTGCATAGAACCCTTACAATTGAGTCTCATGGAAAAAAGTAGAAATAGGGAGAGACAGGCTAAAAGAAAAAGTAGGCTTGTGCTTTTATTCTTAGTTATGTACCAGATGGGATGGAGCCTTCTATAGTTACTCCTACTGGACTATGCTTTTTCATCAACAGTGAATTTTTAGATTGCTTTTGGATATAGTTTTCGTTTTAAAAAATTATATAATATGTAATTTTGAAGTTTCCTTGTAATGTTTGTTTTATATATTTGGAATTAATTTTTGAAATAAAGAGAAAATTATATGAGGCTATAAAGGGTATTGGTAGAAAGAAGCACAGGCTTTTGAATCAGATGGGCTTTGTACTTTAATTTTTTTCTTTTCTTTTTTTTTTTTTTCGAGACAGTGTCTCACTCTGTTGCCCAGGCTGGAGTGCAGTGGCACGATCTCGGCTCACTGGAACCCCTGCCTCCTGGGTTAAAGTAATTCTCCTACTTCAGCCTCCTGAGTAGCTGAGATTACAAGTGCTTGCCACCAAGCCTGGCCAATTTTTATATTTTTAGTAGAGATGGGGTTTCACCATGTTGGCCAGGCTGGTCTCAAACTCTTGACCTCAAGTGATCCGCCTGCCTTGGCCTCCCAAAGTGCTGGGATTACAGGTGTGAGCCACTGCACCCAGCTTCCATTTTAATTTTATCTCTGCCTTTTAGTGACTGATTTCTTGATCTCTCTATGAAATGAACATAATCTTTATATCATGGATTATCTGAGAATCAAATGGCATATGTCAAGCTCTTATACTGTGTTTCCTAGAAAGTAGGTGCTCAATGAATGATAGATATTATCATTGTCATTTTGTTACTTAGAATGTAATTGGTGATCTTCATGATATTCTACTCATGGTAAAGACTAGCTATATCTTGGGCTTTAAATATATCAGTGTTATTTGAGGGTAAAGACATACAGCATTTTTTAGATCTGAAAACCAGGAACTAGAATATGAAAGGAAATATTTTTGCATTGAGTATTTATTGCTTTGCATGTATTTATTCATTAAAGATTTCAGTGGAAATTTTTTTGATCTCTTGTTTAGTGTCAAACCAGAAGAGAAGTACAATTCAACAAAAATTTATGTGTGGAGTTCCTTCTTAAAAGAAGAAAAAAGTGATTATTGAGACTATGGATCGGAGCAAACGGAATTCAATTGCAGGTTTTCCTCCACGTGTGGAGCGTCTTGAAGAGTTTGAAGGAGGTGGTGGAGGAGATGGAAATGTGAGCCAGGTGGGAAGAGTTTGGCCATCTTCGTATCGAGCTCTTATAAGTGCCTTTTCCAGACTGACGCGTTTGGATGATTTCACCTGTGAAAAAATAGGGTCTGGCTTCTTCTCTGAAGTGTTCAAGGTGAGTGATACTTCAGCTTTTCTCATATTGTCTTGCTGTGGTCACATTTACTGCAGGTTGACAGTTGTGTTTAATTAGGATGTAGGGTTTGCCTAATCAAGGTGCTGTGGATCTTGAACACCGTTCTAAATTCTCCTTTCAAGCTATTTATTAACTTATATTAAGATATTTTGTTTGAATCCCAAAAATAATGTGCTGGTTAAAAATTCAAATAACATAGGAGTCTCTTCCACCTCACCTCTACCCCCAGCCACACATGTGTGTATGTATCCACACATACATTCTCCAGTAATAACCACTATTAACAATTTGGTGTGTATACTTCTGGACCCTTTCTGTGCTTATACATATATTATTTACACACCTTATATACATATATTAAAATTATATATATACACACCCACATATATAGTTTTTGTTTGCTTATCTTCAGTAAAATTGATAGTTGGGTGCGATGGCATGCACCTGTAGTCCGAGCTACTCAGGAGGCTCGCTTGAGGCTGTGAGTTTGAGAGCAACCTGGGCAACATAGCAAGGCCCTGTCTCAAAAAAATATGAGCTCATAATGCTCCTGAGCAATCATATTTCCCTAGTTCACTCATTCCCTCAAGAGAGTATTTTGTACCTTTTCTTCTCTCATCAAATCCCGGTATTTCCTCTCTAGTCCCCATTGTCAGTAATTAATGAATTGCTTCCCAATTCACTGAGAAAATTGAAGCAAGCAGAAGAGAACTTCCACAGACTCCCATTACTACAAATAGCTATCAACACACATCTTTACCCAGTTACTTGGCCTTTATACCTTGTGCTATGGATCAACTACCCATGCTCCTAAGTCCATTATTTCTGTTTATATTGTACATTCCATTTCTACTTGCCTACTAATAGGCATTGCCTAAGAAATTCTCCCCTCTCTTTTCTACATTGTATTTTCACTACTAAGTGTTACCATTAACATGTTAAAAAAATTCTTTTAAGGAAAAAAAAAGCACAAAAAAACCCCCCAAACATTTTGGCTCTGTTATTTCCCCTTTATTTTATTTTATTTTATTTTATTTTTTATTTTTTTGAGATGGAGTCTCAGTCTGTCACCCAGGCTGGGGTGCGGTGGCACAGTCTTGGCCCACTGCAACCTCTGCTTCCCAGGTTCAAGCAATTCTCCTTCCTCAGCCTCCCTAGTAGCTGGGATTACAGGTGCCCGCAACCACGCCTGGCTAATTTTTATATTTTTAGTAGAGACAGAGTTTCAACATTTTGGCCAGGCTAGTCTTGAACTCCTGACCTCAAGTGATCCGCCCACCTCAGCCTCCCAAAGTGCTGGGATTACAGGCATGAGCCACTGCACCCAACCTATTTTATTCTATTCTTTTATTTTTTGAGACAGGGTTTCGCTCCGTCACCCAGTCTAGAGTGCAGTGTGGTATGATCGTGGCTTACTGCAGTCTTGACCTCCCTGGGCTCAGATGATCCTCCCACCTCAGCCTCCAGAGTAACTGGGACTACAGGTGCATGACACCATGCCCAGCTAATTTTTGTATTTTTTGGAGAGTTGGGGTTTCACCTTGTTGCCTAGGCTGTTCTTGAACTGCTGAGCTCAAGTGATCAGCCTGCCTTGGCTTCCCAAAGTATTGGGATTACAGGTAAGAGCCACCACGTCCAGCTCCTATTGTTTCTTTTATTAATAGGTATACTTTCCCATGTCTTGTTTTTTTTTTTTTTTTTTTTTTTTGGACCAAAACAACTCCATAGAGTTGTCTCTATGTACCATTTCCAGCTTTCTTTCTAGTCTTTCTCTAAAATATTTTTTATTGCAGTAAAATATATATAACATAAATTTACTATCTTAGCCATTTTTTAAATGTGGAGTTCAGTGTCATTAATTACATTTACAATGTTGTACAACCATCCCCATTATCCCTTTCCAGAACTTTCTCATCATCCTAAACAGAATCTCTGTACCTATGAAACATTAACTCACTAATTCTCCCTTCTGTAACTGTAAATTGGTTCATTGCCCAATGCACACGGCAAGTCAATAAGCTGAGACACCAGGTTGCAGCAGAGAAAGGTTTAATCATAGGGCCACCAAATGAGGAGATGGAGGGAAACCTCAAATTCCTCTCCCCTAGGAGATTGGGGCTAAGGTTTTTAAGGGTTTTGAAGTGGGCCGAAGTGTGGCAATTGTTTATTTGTTAAAGAGTACAGGGTGAAGTCATGGGACAGGGAGATGAAGAAGCCGTATTCTCTTGCAGATCCTGTTCCTCTGTGGGGGTCTTCAAACTGGTTGCTGGAATTCAGGGGTGTGAAAAACATATTAAGCAATCCGTAAACAAAAGTCTTACGATTATGTCAGAGATCCTGTTATAGGAAAGATGGGGATGGAAATAAAATCTTAAATTTTATGACCCTAATGTCAGAACTCCTATTCTGTAGGAACAATAGGGATGCAAATAGTCAGTATCTAGTGCTATGTGACTTTTTAGCAACCAGGAAGTGGGCCAAAGTGAGGCCTGATTAATGCTTAATTATAACTATATTTCTGTCCAGAACCTGGCATGCGCTCGTTGTGAACCCCATGGGGGCAGTTTCACTCCCACCCCCTAATATCTTCTTTCTGTTTTTATGAATTTGCTTATTCTAGGCACCCTATATAAGTGGATTAATATAATATTTATCCATTTGTGTCAGAGTTATTTCACTTAGCATAATGTTTTCAGGGTTATTCATGTTGTAGCATATATCAGAATTTCATTCCTTTTTATGGCTAATACTGCATTATTTGTATAGGTCATATTTTATCTGTCTGTTGATGGAGTTGTTTCTACCTTTTGGCTATTTTGAATAACGCTGCTATGAATACCGATATACAAGTATCTGTTTTGTTCTTTGCTTGCAATTCTTTTGGGTATTTAGCTGTAAATAGAATTGCTGAGTCATATGAGTAATTCTATGTTTAACTTTAAGAAAAGATTATGGTAAAATACATACAAAATTTACCATTTTGCCTGGGTATCATGGTTCACGCCTGTAATCCCAGCACTTTGAGAGGCCAAGACAGGAGGATTGCCTGAGCCCAGGAGTTTGAGACCAACCTGGGCAACATGACGAAACTCTGTCTCTGGGGGAAAAATAAAATAAAAATTAAAAAATAATAATTTTTTTTTCTTACTATCTTAACAGTATTTAAGTATGTTAAGTACATACTTAACACAACTATTAAGTATGTACACATGGATGTGCCTCCAAACTCCAGAACTTTTTCATTTTGCAAAACTGAAACTCTGTACCCATTAAACAACTCCCCATTTCTCCATTCCCCCCAACTCCTGGCAACCACTATCCTACTTTATTTCTAAGAGTTTGATTACCCTAGATATCTCATATAAGTGAAAACATACAGTATTTGTCTTTTTTTGACTGCCTTATTTCACCTAATCAGTCTATGTTTAACTTTTTTCCATAGCGGTTGTGCCATTTTACAGTTCTATCAGCAATACGTAAGGGTTCCAGTTTCTCCACGTGCTCACTGGCACTTATTTTTCTTTTTCATGATAATAATCCTATTTGGTGTGAAAAGTGGTATATCATTGTGGTTTTGATTTGCATTTTTCTAAACGACTAGTGATATCTAGCATCTTTTCATGTGCTTATTGACCTTTTTTGTATATCTTCTTGGAGAAATGTGTATTTGAATCCTTTGCTCATTTTTGAATTGTGTTGTATTTATATATTTTATATATAGGGAATATTTATCCCTTACCAGATATATGATTTGCAAATATTTTCTCACAATTTGTAGTTTGTCTTTTCACTCCCATGATGGTGTCCTTTTTTGCACAGAAATTTTAAATTCTGATTAAGTCAAATTAATTTTTTCTTTTGTTACCTTTTGCTTTTTATGCCAATCCAAGGAGTCATCACCAATTCCAATATCATGAAGATTTTCCACAATGTTTTCTTCTAAGAGTTTTATAGTTTTAGCTCTTACATTTAGGCTATTGATCATTTTAAGTTAATTTTTCAATGTGGTATAAAGGCTCCATTTCATTCTTTTGCTTGTGGATAACAAGTTTTACAAACACTATTTGTTGAAAAGACTGTCCTTTCCCCATTGAGTGATTTTGGCTCTCTTCATGTCACAATTAACCATGTTAGCGAGGGTTGATCTCTCTCTCTCTCTCTCTCTCTCTCTCCCTTTTTTTTTTTTTTTTTTTTTAAGACAGGGTCTCATTCTGTTACCTAGGCTGGAGTGCAGTGGTGCTATCTCACTGCAGCCTTGACTTCCCAGACTCAAGTGATCCTCCCACCTCAGCCTCCCAAGTAGCTGGAACTACAGACACACACCATCATGCCTGGCTAATTTTTGTATTTTTTTGTGTGTACAGTTGTGGTTTCACCATGTTGCCTAGGCTGGTCTTGAACTCCTGGGCTCAAGTGATCAGCTTGCCTCTGCCTCCCAAAGTGCTGGGATTACAGGTATGCACCACCTTGCCCAGCCTCTTTTTTTCTTAGAGACAGGGTCTCACTGTCATCCAGGCTGCAGTGCAGTGGTGTGGACATAGCTGACTGCATCCTCAAACTCCTGGACTCAAGTGACTCTCCCATCCCAGCCTCCCAAGTAGCTGGGATTACAGGCATGTTACTGTCACGTCAGCTAATTTTAAAGTGTTTTGTACAGATGGAGTCTTGCTCTATTGCCCAGGCTGATCTTGAATTTCTGGGCTTAAATGATCCTCCTGCTTCAGTCTCCCAAAGTGCTGGCATTATAGGCATGAGCCACTGCACTCAGCCTTTTCTTTCTTCTTTTTTTGAGACAGGGTCTCACTATGTTGCCCAGGCTTGTCTTGGACTCCTGGGCCCGGGCAGTCCTCCTGCCCCTGCCTCCCAAAGTCCAAAATGCTGGGATTATGGGCGTTAGCCACCGTGCCCAGGCTTTTTCTTAAGATGAGGTCCCTCTGTGTTGCCTAGGCTGGTCAAACTCCTGACCTCAAGCAATCTTC